ATACCGCGGGTCAGCTGGACTGCGTGTGATACCGCGGGTCAGCTGGACTGCGTGTGATACCGCGGGTCAGCTGGACTGCGTGTGATACCGCGGGTAAGCTGCCGCGAGTGGCCGCTGGCGGCCTGAAGTGATTTTTATTTTCGGTTCAGACAGCCGCGGTTCGGGATTGCAGAACTTCAGCTGATCTCACTGCCACGTTCCCATTCCCGTTCCGATCCAGGCCCGGCTGAGGAAGCTGTCTGGGAATGCAGGCTGCAGGAGGAAGGGACAGGAAGGAAAGAGGAGGGGGAGGAAGTTCCACCCAGCCCGCGTGTGCTGAAGCAGGGCTGTGCGGCACCTCGTGTCTCCCCACGGTGGGGGAGAGCATGGGCTTGGTCTTCCTGCGGGACAGGGGGCACGCACACCCTGCAAGCTCTCTCTACGGTCACTGCTTGGACCTCTGAGGACAGAGGCTCAGGGCTCCCCGAGGGCTGTTATGCGGTGGTTGCCAGTTCAGATCCCAAACTCTGCCACACAGTCTCGTGGAAGATCATGTCTGCCGCGTGACTCCTTATCTGCTGCGCTGCAGTAGTGAGAACAGCTGGGCCCGCTGAGAGATCAGGCCCTCCAGGGCGTCAGTCTGAAGGGCCACAATGGAGACCTTTGTTTCGCTTTCTCGTGGCTACATTCATGACGGAGTGCAAAGCCGGCAGCCCTTGACTGCGCTGTTTGTGCTCTTTTATTAAAGGGCATTAAAATAGGACAGACACCCACCCCCACACGCTCGTAGGAAATGGCTTTCTGTTTTTAGACTTCCTTCCACTCCGGGAGTGGCCTGTCGCTGGAGGTGCCTGCTGTGGAGGCCTATGAGTGCCATGCTGGGGGGGATGAGGAGTCTGGCTGGGGTCGGAGCTGCCTTGGGGGGGTTGGCAGGGGTTTGCCCAGCTGTAAATCGCTGACAAAGGGAGCCCTGTGTTTGCTGGCTGTCTCCTTCATCATTGTCCCCGGCATCAGTGAAGGCTGCCCGCCAGACACTAACCAGGAGCAGAGCCCTGTGTTTAATTGTGGAGCTGGAGGGAGGGGCGCGTTGCCTGCAGGTGTTTCAACAGTGAAGCCTGTAATTAGAGCCATCCTCCCCCGTGTTGCTGGTAATTATGATAATGATGATGAGCTGTAGTAAGTTAGTAAGCCAATGAGCATATTCTCCTCCTGTCCCCCCCCCCCCATTCCTTGTCATTGGACTGCTCTTGTTCCCCCCCCCGCCTCTCCCTGCCATTGGGCTGCTCCTGCTCTGCTCCTGTTGGGCAGCTAGAGCCTTGCCTCTCTTGAATGGGTCCCTCTGCTACAGTTTGACAGAGAGATGTCTTGCCATTGGACCATTATGGTTTGAGCTGCTTTGATGACCCCAGAGGAAGCACCATCGCAGTGGTTTCACCGTGATGGTGTGCGACAGGAGCCGTGGTGCATGAGTACCAGTTGCACTGACGTGCTGAGGCTCCCTGTGTCAGACCGCCTGGGGTGTGTAGGTGCTGGAGCTCTCTTGTGAGTGGAAAGTGTGGGATTAGTGTGCATGGTCTGTACGTACAAGCTCAGGTCATTTGGATTGCAAACACTGTCGTTCCTGAAAGTTGGGGACACAGTCGTGCAGGCAGACTCTGAAGAAGTAGGGCCCCCAGCTCCTGTGTGGGTGCGAAGTGGGGTACAGCAGTGGTGTCCCCCCTGGGCTCCTTGGCCCTGGGCAGTCTGCAGAGCTGTGGTCTGTGGTCTGTGGTTGGCTGCGGCTCTGGCTGGTCTCCCTACGGCTCGTCCCGCACTCTGTAGATCTGTCTGACCCAGCTGCCCGGAGGAGCCCCTGTGGCCAGGGGCCCTTGGTCCTTCACTGATACCCGGCTGCAAGCAGGCCCCCTCTCTTCTGCCGGACAGCCCAGGGGTGTGCTGGCCTGTTGTACGGGTGTGAAATACTTGTTTAGTCAAACTGGCGTATTTCAAGTGACCCATAGTGATTGTTGTGATATGCAGCTCTTTTATTTAGACGGATGTTGGGGTGTTTTTTTTTTCTTGTTAAATCTTCTCAGTGTGCTGTAGATGCCTGTTTTGGATCCTTTGGTGAGACAGGCACTGTATAGATTACCTTGGTTGTGTTGTTGTTGCTGTTGTCAGGTGCTGGACCCCGAGCAGAACCACAGCTTCACCGACCACTACCTCAACGTGGCCTTTGACCTCTCCCAGGTGCTGTTCATTGCCACGGCAAACACCACGGCAACCATTCCACCTGCACTGCTGGACAGGATGGAGGTGCTGCAGGTGCCAGGTCAGGGGTCAGGGGTCAGGGGTCAGGGGTCAGAGGTAGAATGCAGAATGGCTCTGTTCAGGCCCACTGCTTGCCAGTTTGTCTTCTGTTTTCTCTGGTTTGGGCATTTTGCCTGTTAAAATAAGTCTTAGAGCTTATACCAGCATCTTACATTTCATAGCTTTTATTGAGCATTTAGAATTTGACAGGCTCCGCACTGCCGATGGGGGAGAACAGATTTTGAAATCCAGACGTTGAAGGCTGCAGGCCTGTCAGATGTGTGGCTCTATTTATATCTACCTGTGTCCTAGGAGAAGGGCTTAATTGGTTCAGTTAAGTGAATAACGGGATCAATTAACTAATTAATGAATTCAGGTGGACTGAAAGGCTGCAGCCCCGAGGGAGCCCAGCTGTGGGCTGTGTGCTGCTATTTGCAGTCCTGCGATCAGGAAGCAGCATGTCATATGTGTGTGCGTGTGTATGTAGGATACACCCAGGAGGAGAAGATTGAGATTGCTCACCGACACCTGATCCCACACCAGCTGGAACAGCATGGCCTCACCCCTCAGCAGGTCCAGATCCCGCAGGAGACCACTGTAGACATCATCAGCAGGTCTGTACGCTGCAGGGACTGTGAGACGAAGGGGCAGGGGAGAAGCTAACTAGAGACTGAAGGAGCATCCAGTCTGAGTTCACATGATCGTGAAGCACAGACAGCACAACGCTGCAGTGCTTCTTCTTGGCTCACGTCTCTTTCTCTGTGTAGAAAACGAGTTCTCTTAGTCAGATTCGCTGTGAGAAAGGCACAGTGAGTTTATTATGTATGCATACAGGAATTAATCAGCCACAGGAGTTGTCTGTAGTCAATTCAAAGTTCAAGCTGGGACTTTCCCATTTATATAGTCAAGCAGTTACACAGAAACAAGCACAAGGGAGGAAGTGTTTCCTGAAGACCGATACCACTCCAAAGAAGTAGTTAACATATTTGTGCAATAGGGCATTAAGGAAAGATATTGCAGAACAAAGACAGCTTATTTACAACTCCAGATATCCACCCCCCACTAGTCCTTGAACATTATTTTTTTTCCGGCGCAATTTCAGCTCCGCAAGTCTTATCTGACAACTTCTGTTACTCCTCAGGCAGTTTCTCTGCCCAACTACAGCTGAGAGCTCCAGTATGCTCTGAACTCTTTCCTTCAGGTGTCCCTCCAGCAGGTGATGCTACTGAGAAAGAACCCTTAAGGACAGTGGACAGTGCTTTCAGTTTCATTGCGTGCTGGCAGTAGGAGCAGAGGAGTGGGAAGGGAGCAGGGTGGCGCGGTGTTGGTGATCACGCTCCCTGTGCGCGTCTGTCTGGGCAGGTACACCCGGGAGGCGGGGGTGCGCTCGCTGGAGAGGAAGTTCGGGGCCATCTGCCGGGCTGTGGCCGTTAAGGTGGCGGAGGGTCACAAGGTGGCGAAGACTGACCACGCCTCTCCTGGGGCAGAGACGGCAGGTCAGTTCCTTCTCTCCAGAGCGGCAGTGAGATACAGTAACACAGCCTTCTGCACACAGCACAGTGAGGACATCGCCTGCAGCACACAGGGCCTGGTTACAGCACCGGACATTTTCAAAGGCTTTGACATCCCTGTGGATGTCTTCAGAATCAACAGTGAGCCACAAACCAGGGGACAGCAGTGGAGACTATGGGGAATCGCATTTAAAACCGAGAACAGGAGGCATGTCTTACACAGTGTCACTACACAGAGGGTTGCAGGAGTCTGGAACAGCCCCCCAGCCATGCTGTTAAAGCTCCCGTCTGGGATTGTTCTGGAGAAACAGTTGGATGAGATCCAGGGATCAATTAGCATCCAAACCCCAAATGAACTGAGCCGCCCTCAAGTTTGTGAGCTTGCAGGCGTTGCTGTGTTGTCAAGGCGGCGGTGATATGCAGGGTCGGGGAGGGTCTGGGGGGCTGGTTGTTCGTGTGAAACACAGGTGACATCGCCACACTGTGCCCTGAGCCGGCAGCCCCCCCCGGTCCCTTTCAGTTTCACACAAACCTTGTGCAGTAGGGGCTGGCAGTTAACGAGGCCGGAGTTGTGTTTGTGGTGCCGGCAGGGCTGTTGCATGTGAGGGGCCATATGGCACCCCCCCCCTCCTCTAAGAGAATAGAGTCAGAAGAGAGCGGCCCAATCCCAACCCCCCCCGTGTGCGCTGTTGCCAGGTAACAGTGACATCATTTGATGGCCCAACAAAGCCTACTATGGAGACCAGTTTCGACTCCTCTGGGCTCCAGTGTGACTCTGAGCAGCTGTCATGTAGTCACCCCCCCCTTCCTCACCCCTCTGTCCATTTGCAGAGTTTATCTTTCTGTCACTCTTTTTTTACCTCACCTTTGCTGTCCACCTTTGCCTCTGTGCTCTTCCTGTCTGCCTGAGAGGCTCCTGGAGTTGGGTGTGATTTAACAGGAATGGGGGTGGGTTCAGGTTAGGGTTAAGCCCCTCTGCTCAGCGCGACATGTGTGCGAAGCCTAAAGAGACTGGCTGGGTGACACCGGCGTGCGCGGGGAGTGTTTTTATTCTCCCTGAGAGCTTGCCCTCTCTCTCACCCCTTGGCCGAGCTCCGGCGAGCCCTGGCTGTGTGCTGGGTGAATGCTCGTGCTTGTTTTGAATAGGTTTCTTCTTATTTACATCCACTTGTAAGCCCAGTCACATAAGAGGGAAGCAGCAACCAGGAGCGTGCCGAGTGCAGGGGTGCCTTCTTTTGGGGCGTCTTTCTCTCGGCCGGGAGCAGGAAAGCAGTGGCCCTGCTGGGTGTAGTTTTCCCTAAGGAAACACACTGAAGACTCCAGCTGCAGTGTCCTGCCCATCCTGGTCAGTGACTCAGTGCGAGCTCAAGTAGGAGGACGGATGTTGTTGACATCGTCCCGGTCCACTTTGGGCTCACTGATCTGAGTCCTGCAGTCGTGCTTCCCACAAGACCTGGTGACACTGACTCACAGAATTAGGGCTCATGTCCAACTTGGCCAGGAGAACTTGGGAAGGTCCTGCTTTTCCCAAATGTTTTCCCAAATCCCCCCCCCCCAAAAAAAAGGGCCGGAGTGGTGGCTCTGTGGCTCAGGATCTGCGCCTGTGGCTGGAAGGTTGCTGGTTCAAATCCCGCGGCCAGCAGAGGAATCCTACTCCGTTGGGCCCCTGAGCAAGGCCCTTATCCCCAACTGCTCCAGGGGCGCCGTGTAAACTGACCCCAAGTTTCTCTCCCTGTCTGTGTGTCTCATGGAGAGCAAGTTGGGGTATGTGAAAAGACAAATTCTTAATGCAATAAATTGTATATGGCCAATAAAGTGATCTTATGTAGCCTGAAGCCCCCATCCCATCTCTCACTAATCCATCCAACGGCTGATCATGTACCAGGGTTTTAGATGCTACTGTTATTCATGAATGTGGGGATGTTGATAAGGGACCAGGCTGTCTGTTCAGTGGCTGCTTGCTGACCGTTTTCCAGATCTTATTGTCACTTCTGAAAAACTGCATGCTTGATACCCAGACCAGACACAAGCTTTCAGGAGAACAAGTGTGCACATGATCCTACCTTTACTACTCTCATTCTAGTGCCTAGAATATGTCACGCTCTAGAATATTGTGTGCTTGCTTCACATAGAATACTGTGTGTTTATTTGCCATGATACAAAACAAAATATTCCTGTTGGGAATCAGTCCAGAGAACAGCAAGCAGATGCATCCCAGTCAAGCAAACAAGCAGAGCAAGATCATCATCTCTGAGTCTTCACCCTCCCTGCTTTGCACCCTGTCTCTTCAGATTCCAATTCAAAATGTTATTGGCATGCCCGATGATTTCCAGTGCTACCAAAGCAATCGCAGTTAGCAAAAATAAAAACAAAATTACAACAAACAAAATTACTTGCAGACATTAAAAAAACGTTTTCTATGGGTCTCTCTATCCTTTGTCTCTCTCACTGTTTCCCAGTGCACAGCAGTATGAATAATGGCTCTAGTGTCATAACGTGGCCTTGCAGTGATACAGAACTCTTTTCTTGTCTGCGTGCCTGTTCACAGGCGGGGAGAAGGCAGATGGCAGGGAGGAGTCTCTGGCTGGGTCAGCTGACCTGGCCCTGCCCCCTGAGATGCCCATCGTGATCGACCGCCATGCCCTCAAGGACATCCTGGGGCCACCAGTCTTCGAGATGGAGGTCAGTGCGCTGTGCATCTGAATGGGGACAAAACACCGAACACAGACAGAAGCCAACCGTTGGTCTGCATACATTGGCCTCCTGCTTCGAGCTGTGCTGCACACTGCAGTCGGAGGGCTGATGCACCTTAGCAATTTTGGGCAGCTCTGGGTTCTGATCGTGTTGTGAGCTTTGTACTGAAAGCATCTAGTCTTTCTAGTCTCGCTAGTCTTCCTGGAGCTTTCAGGGTTCCTGTGTCCGGTACTATTGGAGAGGCAGGGACTTCCTGATAGACCGCCTGGGAGAGAGTCACACAGCCTGGGCTGGCGTGAGGTTCTCCAGTTTTCTGACTCCGGGAATTTTATGAGAGCCAGCTGCTGGCCTGAGACCCGGCATTCCCTGAGCGGCAGTGTCGCCTTGCAGGGCCGCCCCGCCGGGAGTCCGAGAGGGGGAGGGGGTTCTGGGAAAGGCCTGGCTTCCCACACGGAGACTGGAACGTGTCTGTCTGGCCGGCGGGGGGAGAGGGAGGGGCAGGCAGGTGTGGATCAGGGGGCGTCGGCCCTGATCTAGAGCTCTGATGCACCCTTTGCATTTCTCTTGACTTTTGAATGCAAATATGACTTTTACCCCTGGTTTAAATATTATCCCGGTGTTTTTTTTCCCCCACACATCATGCAGCTGCATAGACATGCGCCGGCACGTTGCCCAGTGCATGCTGGGGCGTGTAGTCTCACAGACAGTCTGTTGTGCGCAGGTGTCGGAGCGGCTCACCCTGCCCGGTGTGGCCATCGGCCTGGCCTGGACACCCTTGGGTGGGGAGATCATGTTTGTGGAGGCCAGCCGCATGGAGGGGGAGGGGCAACTGACTCTAACTGGCCAGCTGGGCGACGTCATGAAAGAATCGGCACACCTCGCCATCAGCTGGCTGCGCAGCAACGCCAAGGCCTACGGTCTGACCAATGGTGAGCCGGGCAGGGGGAAGGATGCTGATAGAGACTGTTGCTTCACAGCAGCATTTTGGCTTTTTAGTTTGCTGCATGCTCACATGGGACAGACAGGCCCTCGTGCAGGGGTAGCTGATACCAGAAGGGGTGTCATTCCTCACACCAGATGGGTAATTCGCTTTGCAAGCAGATACAGGACATGACAGAATGCACAATACAATTTACTCAGCATGAACCCATTAACAAATAAAAGACCTATATGAGATGAGAATGAAAATAAAATACATAAAAAGGTTAAATATACAGGGTATTGTTCAGATTAGGCTGGATAATAGTAAATAGGGGTTGCAAAAACAGTGAACATAAGAAATGACTGAGAGGTTAATGAATAATTAAAATAAACCATAACCCCCCAACTGTAAAGATTTTGAGTAGAGTAGACCCAAGCGGTCTGAGTTCTCTGTTCTCTGGCACAGCTTTGTTGAGAAGAGTGGTATCTTTTAGTCTAGTACCTGACTAGTAGTAGCATTCAGGCACACTGGGTTAAACAAATATTTATTGATAATGACAATACACAAACTAAACAATACACACCATACAATATGCAAGTTACATTATTTACAAACAAGGCGTCTCACAGGACTACTTTTTTAATGTTAATGTGTTTAATGTTTTAATTACTTCCTGACCAACCAGAAAAACCCAAGAATGCTACCAACTATTCAAAGATTCACCTACACAGGCCAACAGAGAGAGAAAACTGCCTTCTAAGCCAAACAGAATAGAACCTAGAGTTAAATCTCATACTGTAGATCTGGATGCTACAAAGCATAATGGACCTATTTCCTTGTTCTAAAAATGCTCCCTCTAATTAGAAGAGAGTTTTAATCTAGGGATTCTCTGGACAGACATCAGAGCTTCCTAAAAGCAACAGAACGGCAAGCTCTCTTCACAAAGTTCAAATACTGAACTCGAATCTGGTCTTTATGGAAGGTCTAGACAAGGAGCTCTCACCTGGTACACACTTTCCTCTCTCTCCTGTCCTTTTCTCTTCTCTCTGCTCTTGTCTCTCTCTTCTCTCCCCTCCTCTCTCTGTCTTCATGTCCTCCTCTTCTCACCTTCCTACCTGCTAACACAGAACTCAATCAAGGTAAAGCAGGCGATGATCAGTGTCTCACACCCAGCACAGCTCAGTAAACACCTCAGTTCCTTTCTTGCTCTGAAGCTCCCTTGAGAACTGTAAATGTTGAGACTAGCCAGGTGTTGGCCAGTTGTATCTAGATTCTTGAAAGAGCTCAACAGCCACTTCCAGTAACCTTATCAATAGCCCTGGGAATAAAATATTAACTTGTGTTTATTGCTCTTGAGACCAGGCAGTCTGAATGGACCCCCAGGTTGAAAGAGCTCAGACTCACAGTGCAAGAGGTGGTCATGACAGTCAGTGGTTATATTGGCCTCCCACACTGTTTGATTGACGTACTGTAGCTGTTGTGCACCAGTAGCTTTGCTGGCTGCCTTCACAGTCCTGCTCAGCCTGTTTTCATTGTGTGTATTAAGGTTACCGAACCTGGCTGCTGCAGTGAATGTCAGGAGAGATTCAATAAAGGTTCTGTTGGAGAAAGCCATCATTGTAGTAGACACGTTAAAAAAGTGGAGTTCTCTCAGGAATTGACAGGTTCAAACTGTTTGAATATTGTTCACGGTTGAAAGTTTAAAGGTAATTGCGGAGACTGAATGGTTTTAGTTTTGCCACTCCCCCAATGCATTGCGCCCTGCACAGCCCAGAGAGTGTGGTTTACGGGAGCCCTGTGTCTCTGTGTGACCAGCTGTGGGCGGACCAGACCCCCTGGAGGGCACAGACATCCACTTGCACTTCCCGGCCGGCGCGGTGACGAAGGACGGCCCCTCCGCCGGCGTGACCATGGTGACCTGCCTGGCCTCCCTGTTCAGCAGCAGGCTGGTGCGGTCGGACGTGGCCATGACCGGAGAGATCACCCTGAGGGGCCTGGTGCTGCCGGTGAGTGGGACGCAGCGAGTCGGGCAGCCCTAGCGCGTCTGTCTGACAGGCCGGGACAAACGCTGAATCACGATCGCCCAGACGTTCAGCTGCACACGTTCCTTGTTGAGGAAGTCCGCCACACCAGGCATTAGTCACGGAATCCACCCAAGAAACCAAGCAGCTCCAGCAGAGCCGGGGGACTGAACCAGCTGTAGTGAGGACTGACTTAGAGGGCAGGGCTGGCGCTCCGATCTGCAGGAGCTGCTGAGGGCTGACGTAAGGAACCTGGGAAAGACTGGAGCTGTTTCCGGATGTCGCCCTCCTCCCCCTGGGCAGCTCAGTGGATGTGGAGAAGGGTTGAGTGGAGCCCGGCGCAGCTGTGTGTGCGAGAGTGTGTGCGGGCGTGCGCCCTCTCTTTAACGCAGCTGCGTGATCTGTGCCGCGCGCGGGCAGGCCCCGACACGTGCTGGCATGAGGAAGAAGGCTGTGCCTCTCCGCGTGCTCGTCGGCAGTCCTGCTTCCAGCGGGGCGAGCAGAGCACCACTCCGAGGCACCAGCCTCCCCAGCTGGGACACGTCAGCTTGTGCTGCCTCCCAGCACTGCTGGTGCAGCACTCTGTGCTCCGGGGTGAAAACTGTGACTCGGCGGGTTTCTCTCGAGCAGGGACAAGCGGGATGTGCCTCGTAATCTTTAACCTCCTTACAACACGCGTGTTTAATTGCTGCAGGAAGACGGGATTTGTATTTCTGTTCAGTGGCCAGGGATGGTTCTGCTTGGTGTGGATGCTGCCTTATTATCTTTTCCATTTTCCTTTATTGAAAGTTCATGAAATGGGCTCTGGATGCAATGATACGTCACGGATATCATTGCTACGCTTTCATTTCCAGCATTCTGCCTGTATTTTTGACTCTGCGCTTTGTCTTTTCAACAGGTGGGAGGGATTAAGGACAAAGTCCTGGCTGCGCACCGGGCGGGATTAAAGCGAGTGATAATTCCCAGGAGGAACGAGAAGGACTTGGAAGAGATCCCGGCCAACGTGCGGGCGGACCTGGACTTTGTGATGGCCAGCCGTCTGGACGATGTTCTCAACGCGGCCTTCGACGGCGGCTTCCCTGCGTCTCATCTGCACGCACAGATCACCAGCAAGCTGTGACCACAGCATGCGCCACAGGGGCCTGCGCTGAGCTGGACCAGTCACTGCACTGTGTACCCACTCAAGCTCCCACGCGCAGTCACAGAGAGGTAGATGGGTGGATGCAGAGAGAGAAAGATTGACATCAGATACATTTTATGTCAATACAGAGATTTACGTCAGGTGGTGATGGCAGACCTGACACGCACGCACGCACACGCACCAGCCCAAAGTGATGGCAGACCCGACACACGCACCAGCCAAAGTGATGGCAGACCTGACACACACACCAGCCCAAAGTGATGCCACACCTGACACACACACCAGCCAAAATGATGGCAGACCTGACACACACACAC